TTGAGTTTGTACGTGTTCTGAATGGTTTGATAACAATCTAGCTGAATTCCTGGGACCAGACAAAATTTAGGTCTCCTACTCCTCCTCCATCTTGCTCCTCCCCCTTGTAGGATTATTTGTAATGGCAAATATTGGAAATTATATATAATGTCCAAATATAGGAAATTGATGGAACAAAGTATGGTACACACACACACATATAGATACCTGAGAATCAACCTTGATTTCTTTCCTTCCCTTCTTCCCTCTTCCTCACATTTATCAAGTGCTGTTAGTTCTATCTACAACCACATCTCACCATCCCCATTCTGTTACTCTTGCCCAAGTCACCATTTCTTGCCTTGGCTCCCTACTACCCTTCTTTACCCCCTTAAATAATTGTCTACAGCTCCTAATGTTTTTTTGTTTTTTTTTTAACACATAAGTCAGAACATATCACAATGGCATCCTGTGAAACTTAATATAAAATCTAAATTCTTGCCTATGGCCTAGTCATCTAGCTATCTTTTCAGCTTCACCTCCTACCTCTCTCCTCCTTGCTCACAAACTGCCATAAGCTCTTTCCTGCCTCAGAGGTTTTTCACTTTGCCTGGAAGGCTCTTCTCCATGGCTATTGCATTCTACCATTTAAGTCTAGTTTAAAGTCCTCTCTAAAGAGGCTTTATCTGGCTCCACAATTTAATGTTTTATCCCCCCTGCTTCCTCTAGTCACTCTATACATTTCCCTGTTTTAATTTCTGTATAGTGTTTGTCGGCGTAAGAAAAAAATTTCCCTCCCTCCCTCCTTCCTTCTTCCTTCCCTCCCTGTCTCCATTTCTCCTTTTTATGTTCTCTCTCCTTTGTTTACTTGTGTTCTTATTCTCTAGATTGTAAGTGTAATCAGAAAAGGAATTTTGTGCTTCTTGTTTACTTTTGTATCCCCACTCCTACAGCCCTTAGATCACACAAACACTCTGTGAGTATGAATATCCTTGTCTCTATCTAATCTGTCTTTATCTGTCTATGATATTGAATAAGGTGCTTAGGTTACTGTTCATAATAAAACAGTGATTTAACACTACATTAAAAGTGTTCAAATATAGAATATATGAAAAATAGCAGATGTTTTCCCCAAAGAATGGGGAAGGAAAAAGTAATAACATATGCTTCATGTTGCCATTTTGCTCAACTTTGTTTTTCTTTTTAGGCAGATTTGGTGGGTGGGTAAAGTCCTAGAAAGCAACAGGAGGAGCAGGAAAAAGAGGGAGTACTGAACTAAATAAAGTGAAGATAATGGAATAGGTATAGTTTAGCAAAAGTTAGATCACCTCACATTACATGCCAGTACTCAACTCTTGGTTTTCTGGACTAATAGGATGGAAAAGAACTATGAATGAATCCAAAGCAAGAGGGTCATTTTTTTTTTTTGGAAGTTTTATTTATTTATTTGAAAGAGAAAGAGAGAGAGAGAGAGAATGAGCAGTGGGGAGGGGCAGAGAGAGAGGGAGAGGCAGACTCCCTGCTGAGCGGGGAGCCCAATGCAGGGCTTGTTCCCAGGACCTGGGGATCATGATCTGGGCCGAAGGCAGACACTTAACTGACTGAGCCACCTAGGTGCCCCTCCCATAATTTTTTTTAAAAAGATTTTATTTTTAAGTAATCTCTACACTCAATGTAGGGCTCAAACTAATGACCGTGAGATCAAGAGTTGCACACTCCACGGACTGAGCCAGCCAGGCGCCACTGATCCCATAATTTTTGAAAACACACTGGAGTTGAAAAGGAAAAAAATAACAAACAACTGGATGAAAAGTAAAGACAAACAAACTAAAACCAATTTCCAAAGAATTCTTATCTCTATAAACTGAATAGTTCTTTTTTTTTTTTTTTTTGAATGATGTTGCTTCGAATCTCCATTTGACACTTTGTACAACAAAGCACACAGGCTTGTCCATCTACAAATATATAAAGCAGTATGTCAAGCAATGTGTTAGAATCTAGATTACCCTGGCCAACCAAACAGAAATGGGCCCTGTCCTCAGAGAACTTATAATCTAGTAAGAAAGAGAGACATTAAATCAATAATGGCAGTCTATCAAAATAAAATAAGAAAAACACATTTTCAACCAGAAATTTTACTTCTAGGGCGCCTGGGTGGCTCAGTTGGTTAAGCGACTGCCTTGGGCTCAGGTCATGATCCTGGAGTCCCGGGAT